CCCCCCCCCGTCTGAGTAACAATACTTCTTCAGGTAGTCGCCGATACTAATTACCGGTGCATTATTTTTAGTGTACCCCGGTTTTCTAAAACAATACAGAGTAGTGATTTTTAGGACAATGGTGGAGTGCCAGGGCCCGGTTGTAGCTGCAACCGCTGCAATGCTGGTAGTTCTGCCACTGACTTTATGCTGTAGAGGGCCTACAAATCCCAGCAATATATTATATAGCAATGCAGAATCAGCTATAAAGGAGTACAAATCCCAGCAATACATTATATATGCACTGCGCTAAACCTTACATCCCCCCCCCCATCAAATATAAAGTGTCAATATGCAATATCAAAAACAGTATGCATATCAAACAATTATTTTCATATAGATAAAATAACTCGTGCCAACAAGCACCCAACTGTGCAATCCTCATATAGTCGGTAACGGTGCAAAGAAAGTCTACAAAATAAAGTATTTCGAATGTGTTAAAACTTCTCAAAGTTCATTCTCTAGTGTAGACACTCTCCTCCCCAATAAATCATTAATCAAAGTGCATACTCTATATAGATGTAGGGTAGTCTTAATATCTTCCACCAAATCTTTTGGCATGCAAAGGTTTCTGCAATCCACCGTGATCCAAACAAAGCCTTTTGGAATCGCACTCCCTAGAATTATAAGGTTACCCTTCTAGGATCAGCCATAATTGCTTTATCACTAATGTCACTTCTCTCAGTTAAATCTCCATAGGCTGAGAGGACTCTTCTTAGCTTCCTCCTATCTTGCAGCCTCGATATCTCGTGATTCCAAGCTCAAACCGAAATTAAAATCCCTCTCGGGTGTAGTACTTAAAAATTTATTTTTTAAACTTTTTAATAATAAAACCACTTGCATAGCAAATAGTTCAATAGCGTAAAGGATTCTACGTTTGACCTGTTGTGACCCGTACTGTCTCAGGAAGCGTGTGTATGACCCGCCCACCCGACGCGTTTCATCACTACAGACTTTTCCCGTGGGATAAAAAGTGCACACTATCCCCTGGAAAAAGTCAGTGGTGACGAAACTGGTCGGGATACTTCACGCTACTAAATTATTTTCTATGTTAGTGTTTTTATTCATCAATAAATCTTAAACTGTGAAATACTACACCATGAGAGGGATTTTAATTTCTGTTTGTGCTTGGAACTACGAGATATTGAGGCCGCAGGAGGGGGAAGATGTGTGGGCCGGCAAAGTAAACAGGCGCCTTGTGCTTCCTCAAGAAGGCTCCCCAGCAAGTGCAGGAACTTACTGCAGCTGCTTCAATAAAAAAATGTAAAATGCCGTTATTGGTTTGGGGTATTGAGTAAAGGTGCCCATACACCTTACGACCATCGCAGTGTACGGGCACCTTAAGAGTACTTGTGAAAATGCCCAGTATCTGTATCAGTGCATCCCTAGTAACAAGAGTTTCTTTTCAAATGATTAATAGTTGTTAGCAATGCTTAGAAATTCAAGCATGATTTCTTTTCTCTTTAATGAAGCACATGTCAATTATTTGATGTACTGATTTTGACTGATAGTATACACATTTTTATTTTATTTTTTTTCCTAGTTAATTCATCTCACTGTAGTTGATACGGCTGTTGTCTTCCCACATCGACTGGGTCTCCCATACAAGCGTGCACTTCGTTCATTAATGGCAGATCATCTCAAACGTATCATACAGGATAGCGGTAAGCATCAGCATGAATAGAGCATTTCAGGGTTGCAAAATAATGGTATAGATATTAATGAGAAATTCGATTTAGAGGAAAACTCTCTTTAAGACAATAACATGTCCACATAGGGCCTCAAACATGTGTTCTCTGTGCAGCCAGTCTGTTTCTTTTGTGGAACATGAAGTAAACCCTAAGTGGATGACATTTAGTTGCTAATGAACTGTGTCATAAATAATTGGCATGTTTTTTTTTGTCATCAAATACCGGTTTTGTCTGTTTTTTAGTCTCTTTTGCATCTCATTCATCTGATTTCCTGCAGCCTTTTGTAGCCACTTTATGGACACTCCATGGAAATTGACTTTTGCCACGTTTGACCACAGACTGAATAATAGCACGCAGAGTCAGGCGGCAGTAAACAAAGCAAGTAGTGTCCTTTCCTGTATTAAGAGGGGAATGTTTTGCAGGGACAAATCCTATAATTCTGCCACTTTATAGATCACTGGTTCAGCCTCATCTGGAGTATGCGGTCCAGTTTTGGGCACCAGTGAACAGAAAGGATATCCTTGAACTGGAAAGAGTCCAGAGGAGGGCAACCAAACTCATAAAGGGGATAGAGGACCTGAGGTATGAGAGGCTACTAAATTTAAACATGTTCTAATTGGTCATTGGAGGTAAGGAGATTAAGGGGGCACATGATTTTCATGTATAAAATGTTCACCGGTGTTGGCAACATCAGCAGCAAACTTTTTACAATTAACTCCATGACAAGGACGAGAGGCCACCACTTAAAATTGGTGGAGAAAAAATTTCAGCACAAGGGGCGAACGGGTTTCTTCTCAGTTAAATCAGTCAGGGTCTGGAACTCGCTGCCACATGCTGTGATTTTGGCTGAGAGTGTGGAATCATTCAAGAGGCGATTCCTTAGAGACCGTAATATACAGGGATACAATTACTCTTAAGATTGAGAACACACAGGGACTTATACTGTACATAATACACATCAATAGGACCATACACACACATAAAATAGGTTGGACTTGATGGACATATGTCTTTATTCAACCTCAAATACTATGTAACAAGTTAACATTACATCGTCAGTCAAACAGCGCCTACAAATCCAGCGATTTATACTGAATGAGAATTTTTGCTATTAAATGATTTATTCATTAACATATCAGTACATGTTACGATGTGCTGTTGAAAAAACTAAGTCCACCCTTGACCTCAGAAGCTGTTTTTTTTTTTTTTTTTCTGGCAATCTCTACAAATCCTATGCCAGGCTCATAGTCATCAACAGCCTCCTTTCTGACGGCCCTATAGAGCTCTTGGTATGATGACACTCCACCCTAGATTTCTGAAGTTTACATTAGTAAATGTGGGAATGTACTTATGTTTTCTACATAACACTTGTATTCATTCTTAAAATCTAAATGAACAAATCTACATCATGTCAGTTTTATGTGTCATTTGTTCAAGTGCTGTACGTCACCATTATCTGTTAAAATGAAGATCTAATATTTGCCTGTTCAGATATATTGAAAAAAGTCAAACATTTACATGGGGTATGCTTACTTTTTCAATTGACTGTACATGCATTCACTTCAGCGTCAGCTATATGTGTTTGTTCTAGACTTGCTTTCTGATAGTGACAACAGTGGACCATGCTTGCCTGAATGTTGTCAGCATGGCCACTTGTAGCCACGAATTGTGTATGTAATAGGGTGACAACACAGGAGCACAATAAGGAGATGGCAGCTATCAGCCCATAATAGGAAGTGCATGAACAAGGCCCCTTATGGCAGAAACTGCATATTTAATGAAAGCTACATATTTTAAAAACTTGAAACCAGCTTAACATAACATCATGTTAAAACTTATGAGATTTTCTTGATTAGGTTTAGATCTAGTTCAAGGTAATGTGTAGTAAAATCCATGTTAACGCATGATCTGTGATCCATTAATTTTTTAATTGCACCCCAACTTACCACTAAAGTAACTTGCAATGTAACTGCACTGCAGTGCACCAGAGTGCTCATATGATGTGTTTTGGTGTGCTGTGCTTATTAACAAAAAAAGTTGAACCTTTATGATGCTTAGCCACACCTAGCACACTGTGCTGTATGCAGTGGCGACTCTAGGAACAATATATAGGGGGGGCACATAAGATACCACAGTCAAAACTGGGGGGGCACTAATAAATGTCACCACTAAATCATACCACTGAAAAAAACTAAATGTAAATAAGATTAGAAATATGAGAGTAATGCGGTATGCAAGAATACCTTGTTATTGTACTAATATACTAACCCCTCATCTATCCACTAGCATATCTAATCCTGTACAGGCTGTCAGGTGGGCTAGATGCTAAAACACTTACCTTACCACTCAAGCGATTCTGCTCCACTCCCTGATCACTCTTTGGTAAAGGCCGCAACAGACCAAGCTCCGCCTCCTGAAAACTCCCCTTCCTGCATGTACAGCAAGGTACCTCTAGACTTAGGTAAGCACTGGGCTCTGGTGAGACCCCACACATACCTGAGATGCCACACGGTCCACCTGTGAGTGACCATAGATCCTGCACAGCCCATCTAAGACTCTCTGTGGTGGGCTCTGCAGGGTCTTAGGTGGGCTGGTCAGGGTCCCTTTCCCTGTACCTCCGTCCCAGCTTTTTTTTACCTGCTGCTGGGGTCTGGCCTCTTCCGCCGCTGGACCGGCGCTGCTGGGAACCGGCCGGAAGTGACGGAATTGGAAATTGTCGTTGGATCAGAACACCGGCAGCCAGTGGTGGACCTAAGGAACAAAGGGCCCTGGTGCAAGATTTTTTTTTCAAAGCCCATACTGGCCAACTGACCACCTGAAAGCCCTCGCTGGCCACCAAAAAGCCCGCACTGGCCACCTGAGAGCCTGCAATGGCCACCTGAGAGCAGAAAAACAAGCGCAGGGCTCCCACTGATTCTGCAATATGTTGACTAGTATAATAAGTTAATTATATATATTACAGTTTAATAATGATATAAATAAAATGCACAATAAATGCACTTGAAACATCCCAAAACCATCTCCCCCTCTCTCCCTTCACACCCCCCCCCCCCCCCTCGCTTTGTGGAAAAAATGTGTCAGCTAAACTGGTTCCTGATTCCAAAAATGTTGTGGACCACTCTAAAGAGGACTACAACTCCCAGCAATACTTTATCCGGCAATGCAGAATGACTTTAGCTATAGGGGACTACAACTCCCAGCAAAACTTTATACGGCAATGCAGAATGGCTTCGGCTACAGAGGACTACAACTCTCAGCAATACTTTATACGGCAATGCATAAAGACACCAGCTATATAGGACTACAACTCCCAGCAATATTTTCTACATCAATGCAGAATGGCTTTAGCTAGAGAGGATTACAACTCCCAACAATACTTTATACGGCAATGCAGAATAGCTTGAGCTATAGAGGACTACATCTCCCAGGAATGCTTCATACAGCAATGGAGAATGGCTTCGGCTATAGAGGACTGCAACTCCCATCGATATTTTATACAGCGTTTGCAATTCTGAATTGTTGTATTAAGTTCTGTTGGAAGTTGTAGTCCTCTATAGCCATTACCATTCTGCATTTCTGTATAAAGTATTGCTGGGAGTTGTAGTCCTCTATAGCTGATGCCATTCTCAACTGCTGCAATGCAGAATGGCACCTTTCCTCTGCCATGTAACTGAAGGAATTGTTCTGCATTTATGTATAGAGGGTTAAAAACAATGTGACTTAAGGCACATACCTTGTTTGACTGTCCTCATGGTGAGTACTCATGCAGCAGGGAGAGGTGATGGGCTCTGCAATCAAGTGGCTGCTGCTAGTTCCTCCTGGCCGAGGCCTCAGCGCTGCCCCATAGTGTGCCTGCAGGCTGCTGTACTCGGCGTCGGCGAGGTACTTAAAATTCCGCGGCTATTTTCCCTTGGCGTCGGCTATGGGGCGGATCTGAGTGACGTCATGGGACCTGATTGGAGCCTGTGCAGCCGCTGCTTGTTTGGTGCGACGGGTGGCCTCTCAGTCAGAGCGGCGGAGGGAGAGACTATTTTCTCGACCCCTCTAGCGACGCCACTGGCTGTATGACATGTGTTAACTTAAGTTTGCATTATGACAGCCCATTGATTTTGAATGTGCTGGCAACACACCCCAATCCAAACTTGACCCTGTTTTGGTAATGCATTAGCATACAATGTAGTGTGCTTTAATGCAAGTACAACACATAAACATATAATACATGATCTGGTTAAAGCAAGTAAAGTCCTAATGTCATAATGCAAGTAGCATGAATGGTAGTCATGTGATCATAGGGTTAATTACTGTTGGAAGTAATTAACCCTATGATCACATAACTACCATTCAAGCTACTTGCATTATGACATTGGGACTTTACTTGCTTTAACCAGATCATGTATTATATGTTTATGTGATGAACCCAGATCATGTCTAGATTTTTGTATATCTGAATCATGGTTTGCTACAATGGTCATATTGTAGCAAATGGTCGGAGATTGTAGGGTGGTGTTAGTGGAAAAGAAGCTTGCTCCCCTCCCACACCCTCCTAGCATTATTATCAATGTCATTATCATGAATTTTGGACACCCGATGAACTAACCCTGATCATGTATATTCATACCAATCAAAATGTTAATCATATTTTCTCCAAAAAACATATCTACTGTTAATGGAAGGTTTTCTGTAAAGGGAATGAGCTTATAGGGAGTTATCTACTCAGCTGGTTGCTTTTTATGAATGGGCTATGAGCCTTTTTTTAAACTAATATTAAATATAAAAACTTTTGCGTACTATTGTTGTCTGGAGTTGTCATTCTGGTGCTTCCAAACCCCCACTTTTTCTTTCCACTTTTTGTAAACTATTATCAGGGGTGCAGCACCTAGTATCCAGATCCAGGCCAAAACTTCTCTACAATATACAAGGCCTTTGGTATGTTTGCAACTCGGCCTTGGATGCGGCGCTCTTGGTGTCCAAGCTGTCAGTTTTCGGCGGTGACGCTTCACCGTTTGCTTTTGGCTTAAGTGCTGGTCGGCTGATCAGGCTTCCAAGAAAGCCCTGACGGAATTGCCCTTTACTGGGGACCGTCCGTTTGGTTCCACCTTTGATGAGATCATTAAGGATCTGACAGGGGTTAAGAGTACTTTCCTTCCCCAGGCGCGCAAGAAGGAACAGCGCCGGAAACCTGGGCCCACTTTCTCCGCTCACAAGCTGCTTTTTCAGCCCCCTCCGCCCTCCGATAAGGGCGGGAAGTTTAACAAATCCTCGTTCACAGTCTGCCAAGCCCCAGTCCACATGAAGGTTGCGCCCCGGCTCTGGTTCCCAGGGTGGGGGGCGCCTTTGGCTCTTCTGGCTACAAGATCAAATTTCTGTCCCGTCCGGGGAACAGGTTCTTCCCGTCCAACACGCGCCTTTCCCCTCCGCGGTTGGGGGATCTCAGTCGTGCTGTGGCAAACCTTTTGTCCCAGGGGGTGATCGTTCCAGTTCCGTCCTTGGAAAGGTTCAAAGGGTTTTATCCCAACCTGTTTACCGTGCCCAAGAAAGAGGGGGTTCGGCCCATCCTGGACCTCAAACGTTTGAACACCTTTGTGCTGGTCTGTCGGTTTCGGATTGGAGTCAATCAGGTCCATAGTGGCCTGGCTTCATCAGGGGATCTGCTGGCCTCCATCGACATCAAGGATGCCTACCTCCATGTGCCCGTTTGCGGGTCTCATCAGCGTTATCTTCGTTTCGCAGTGGGGGAGGAGCATTTTCAGTTTGTGGCGCTGCCTTTCGGGCTGGTGTCGGCCCCATGGGTGTTCACCAAGGTGCTTGCCCCGATTCTGGCGCCCATTCACTTTTGCATGCAGGTCCTGGGTCTCATAGTGGCCTCCTTCGAGGCGATGTCCTTTGCACAACACCACACCAGGACTCTGCAGAGGAACATCCTGGTACAGTGGGACAAGTCCCCCCTGTCCTTGGACAGGGAGATTCTGGTGTCTCGGGAGGCGAGAGCGGCTTCAATCTCCGACCTTGGTGCGGGTTAAGTCTTTCCTTCTGTGCACTGGACGGTGGTCACCACAGACGCCAGCCTTTGGGGCTGGGGCGGAGTCCTGGGCTCCTTGACCGTGCACGATCGTTGGTCGCCGGAAGAGTCCTGTCTGTCGATAAATGTTTTGGAACCTCGGGCGATTCGCCTTTCTCTCCTTCATTGGTCGACCAATTGGTCTTCAGGATCTGTCGGTTCGGGTCCAGTCGGACAACACCAACAACCACCAGGACGCCACAAAAAGCGTGGCCGCAGGTCGAGAGGTGTTAGGGATTCTCTCCTGGGCGGAGAATCGGGTTCTGGCTCTCTCTGCGTGCTACATTCCGGGGGTGGACAATTGGCGGGCCGACTATCTCAGTCGCCAGTCGGTGGACCCGGGAGAGTGGTCCCTGCACCCGGATGTTTTTCAGCAGCTGTCTTCGGTGGGGGACTTTGGATCTTCCGGCGTCTCGCTTCAACCGGAAGGTGGACAGGTTCGTGGCCCGGGCTTTGGATCCCTGGGCAGAGGCGGTGGATGCCCTGGTGGCTCCATGGGGGCCTTACGGTCTGATTTATGCCTTCCCTCCACTGTATCTGTTGCTTCTGCGCCGGATCGCGGCTGAGGACGTCACCGTCGTCCTCGTGGCCTCGGAGAGCGTGGTACAGCTGGTGGTGGACGACCGGTGGCAACTGCCTCTACGTCCAAATCTTCTGTCCCAGGGACCTGTGTTCCATCCTTCTTTACAGTCGCTGGCTTTGACAGCGTGGCTGTTGAGAGCCAGGTCCTGAAGGACCGGGGATTGTCCGATGTGGTCCTTTCCACTATGCTCACGGCGCACAACGCGGTTTCTAGAAAGATTTACCATCGCACATGGAGGGCCTACTTTGCCTGGTGTGAGGCTGGGGCCCTGTCTCTGCGTTTGTTCTCCATTAGCAGAATTCTGCCATTCTTGCAGCGCGGGGTGGCTAAAGGGCTGGCCTTGAGCACAGTGAAGGGCCAAATATCTGCATTGGCTGTGCTGTGCCAGCAGCCTTTGGCATCTAATGCTCTGGTTCGCACTTTCGTTCAGGGGGTGACGCGGATTGCTCCCCCTGTCTGCTCGCCCTGGGCACCGTGGGATCTGAATCTGGTGCTTTCGGTGTTGCAGGGATCTCCATTTGAGCCTCTCTGGGAGATTCTGCTTACGTCCTTGTCGCAAAAAGTGGCCTTTTTGGTGGCCATCACTTCCGTTCGGCGGGTGTCGAAGTTGGCTGCCTTGTCCTGCAAGGCTCCGTTGCTGGTTCTGCATAGGGACAAGGCGGTTCTCCGTCCTCGGCCGGCTTTCCTGCCTAAGGTTGTGTCTGCATTCCATCTGAATGAGGACATTGTCTTGCCTTCCTTGTGCCCGGAGCTGGTTCATAGGAAGGAATGTGCGCTCCACTGTTTGGATGTGGTTCACGCTCTCCATATTTATTTGGAAGCTACGGCTTCTTTCCGCGAGACCGGCTCCTTGTTCGTGCTCACGGAGGGCCCTTGTAAGGGCCGGGCCGCGTCAACGGCTACCATCCCTCTGTGGATTCGTACTGTTGTTGTTCAGGCGTATGCCGTTAAGGGGCGTGAGCCTCCTTTCCCTATCACTGCCCATTCTACTAGGGCTGTTGGGGCATCCTGGGCTTTCCGTCATGGGGCCTCTGTTTGTCAAGGCCGTTACATGGTCTTCTGTTACAAGGTGGATGTTTTGGCATCGGCGGATGTTGGTTTGGGGCGCAAAGTGTTGCAGACGGCTCTTTGAGGGGTCTTTTGGGTGTTTGGTTGTTTTTGCCCATCCCTCAGGATGAGTATGTCCGCCGCTGTATTCTTCCTTGCTGAGGAGATATTGCAATCTGAAGATCTTTAGCTCTCAGTTTCCCCAGTCACTAGTCGAGGCACGAGTTTAGGGTGAAACAAACTCGGATTTATTAAGAAACTGATCTCATCACTTGCTGTATAAAAGGTTGCACAGATTATAATCCCATCACATTCACCCTGCCTTCCCCAGACAATCGGTCTGCTCAACACCACAGGGGTCCACCTGCTAAACAACTCCAGACAGTCATAGCAGGAGCCTGGCCAGAATGTCATTGTCCTGAGCTCCTTCAGAGTACAAAGGGAGATAACGAGGGTGGGGTGCTGACAGTCTTTTGATAACCAGGTTACACAGTATAACATAATTAAACATAACTCAACACCAATACACATTTAACTCCTAAACTGATCACCATGTCGTCACAGTCCCTACCATTCAGGATCTACGATCTGTTGCCCTGTGTCCTTCAATGAACGGGAGAGAAAATAGGATTTTTGTACTCACCGTAAAATCCTGTCCTCTCCGTTCAATGAAAGGACACAGGCCCCACCCTCTCTTTTGGGGTGTACACTACTAACTGCTTGTTACTTACTGGAGACTTGTCAGCAGGTGGGGGGTTTGGCCACCAGCAGGGGCCGCCCCTAGGCTGTCTTTGTCTTTTGTTATGTGCCTAGCGTCCTACTCCTGCAGGTGGCGATATACCCTACCATTCATGATCTACGATCTGTTGCCCTGTGTCCTTCAATAAACGGATAATAAAGGATTTTACGGTGAGTACAACATTTTTTTTCATGCATTAAGTTACCCTTGTGATTTGATAGATGGCAAGTGGGCAGATTCCATAGCCACTAGCATGCTGTCTTTTGGAATCTGGCCAGTTTTCCCATCGAACTTTGTCCACTGTCAATGTAGCCCTACATCATTGGTTGCTAGGACACATCCCTGGCTCATTTCAGCTGCCGGCCAGGAGATTTCCCAGCTGACAGCTAAATATAAACAGAGGGGTGGGGATGTTGGCCGACATCATTGACCAAATATGATCATCGTTAGCGCACTTATAGTCCATTCATTCTTCCTCCCGCCCATGTTACTGAATGTCGGTACCTTGGTACATGCATGGACAGGAGGAAGAGTCTGCACCCGCTATGGCCTTGATCAGTGGCAGCAAGGCTAAACCAGAACCCCCACCAGTAGTCAATGCAGAGTTCTCTGAGCGCATCCAGGAGGGATTGCAGAAGGTTACGGAAGGTTATGCTAGAGAGGCCATAAAAGTTCTTCAAAAGCAATCTTTTGAAGGTAAGTAGGTCATGTTCCTGCCTTTCTGCATTATTAATTTCTGGATTAATAAAACTATTCCAAGAAAAATGGAGGCTTTCATATAAGTCCTAGGGGCTGCACCTTTTAAATTAGGTCAGCAAAGGTAGATTTGTTTTGGGGTAAGTAGGTTAATTTTATATACCTGCTTCCCCCAAAACAAAAATGCATTGCTTTATAACGACCATTGTATATAAAGTTCCCATGCCTGTGCAGAATCTAAGATATGACGTGTGCAAGGTTTTCAATTTATAGCTGCCTTTGCAGGCAACAAAATAATATTGGGTAGCATTTGGTAGGTAAGTGGACAAGACTTAAACTGGCCATAGTTACATAGTTACATAGTATTTGAGGTTGAATAAAGACATTAGTCCATCAAGTCCAACCAACACTGTTCTATTTTTTTTTTCGTTCAGCCTGTGGGTTGAATGAGAAAAATTTAACAAATTCCTCCATCAACACTTCCAAGCGTTGATCGAAGAATCTTTTGCTGTGTCCTTTGTATTCTGGCAGCACAGCAGAACTTTTCATTTGAAGATTTTCCGACGGGCTCCTTCGATCAGTTTTCTGAGGAACCAGCCGAAATGTGCATAATGAATGGCCAGCATTATGCTGCTGTGTGTGAGGAAAAAAAAATGCTTCCCCCGTGTCACTTTTAATTTTTCAAAATCTTCTGTTCTGGTAACATTTGCAGTCTTTTAGATAAGCCAGTTTATTAATGTCATATAATGTGTCTCCCATTGAGCCCTCTCAAGCAGCAATGTGTTTTGTTTTTTTCCTCACAGTTGAAGGACATGATTCAAGTGAAGATGCTTGTGCTTGTATGGAACTGATGATGTGGCGTATAAAAGAAGATGCTAAGGTTAAACGATGATTCATTGCAGTGCAATTGTTGAAACTTTAAACCATTTGTTAAAGCATTTATCACAAACTTGAAACCTTTTTGAAGCTGCAGCACATGGCTAACTACTTCACAAATATGGAGACTGTGTATTGTTTTGACCTCCAGAAAAGAGTGGTGTTAAAGGTGATTGAGACTGTTTATAGTGTGGGAAAGGTGTTTTATTTTATTTTTTCCCTCATCAAATTAGCAAGGTCACGAATCAATAGAAAAATACATGTTGACTAAAGTTTTCTTTGTCCCATATGTCTACAAGAATACAGCTGCATTCTTTGAAAGATTAGTAACATTCACAATTATATCTATACAACTGCACTGATCTTTAGATCTCCTCCTACATTTTTCTATTTTTATAGCTACCGCTGCATAACCTTTTTTTTTTTTTTTTTTTTTTTTTTTTTTTTTTGTGGATTCATGGACTGGAAGTTAGCTGGTTAGGTTAACCAGTAAAATGTTTGAACATATCACTCGCTTCTATACCACATGTTTATTTTAAATATGTTTTCAAACTTTACATATTTGTCTATGAATTAAAATCTCTTACGTAAGTCAGTTTTTTATTTATTGTATGTAGTTAGCCTTACAGACAATTTAATGGCCATGGGTGATTTTAATCTCATGTTGCTGAGCATGTTGAAAGCTTCAGCCCCCATTCATACTTGAACAAGAGCATTTTCAAGCAATTTTGAAGTAATTATTTGCATGTTCTTACATAGTTACATAGTATTTGGGGTTGAATAAAGACATATACGTCCATCAAGTCCAACCCATCTTTCATGGCTTTGGTTTTGCTCAGTGGAAAGTAATATCACCTGACATTATATGTTGGCCTCATCATTATAGCTACATCCTGTTTGTTTTTTCTATACCTGCCAATCCAGGAAAAACTCACGTTAATTTCTGCCCAGAGCCTCTGTTGTTTGCCCCAGTTCTTGTAATGGGCATCACGGAGTTCAAGAGGTTCTTGTGGGCCCTCATCAGGTGGATGAAAGTCTCCACATCCAGTGTGCACACTCCTCAATCCTCTATTTTGTTCACAATGTTGCAAGGAGGAGGAGAGGCAAAATGTCCACACAAAAAAAGCTTGTATTGCAGGTTTACAGGAGCTCCCATTGAAGTCTGTGGGGCCAAAAATGTGTCATTATTTTCGAATAACAAGTACATGTACTTTTTTGTGCAACAAGCAGCAGCAATATGCTCCAATTGTGAACTGACATCATGTTGAGCATTGTCATGCTTCACAAAACGCATAAGTTGCTCAGGCGTGAATGGGAGCTATCCTTTAAAGCACTAATCACTTACATTGGCCATAGACTTTGCAATTTTTTTAGCAGATGTAAAGCTTTTCAACAGCTTATAGTCACCGTAATTTATCTCTTTGGTTTCGGCCATTTGCCATTGCTGGTTGTCTCACTGATGATTCCTTTCAGCTGTCATTACATTGGTTTGCAGTGGTAATCAATTTCCACTGCAATAATAATTATTTGGTCAGAAAAAAAACCTGTGAAACCAATGAAGCCATGATTAACTGACTGCTTTGGTTGAAAGCAGATGAAAAGTTCCATAATTGCCCAATAAATTGTAAATTGTTCAGTAGTCACTTGATCATCTTGTTCATATAGTAATAAGGAGCCAGCTACCAGAGGAAAGCTGAAGATGTAGAAGGCAGGGTATGTCGCAGTCATCATGTAACCAGAGCAGAGCCTGGGGCTAAGGCATGGTAAAGTTAATTTATTCCTTAATATCTTGCTGACAATTGACTTCTTTATATCACATGGACAAACATACCAGTGGATAAATTGATCTGTAGGATGACATTAACACATGGAACACAAAATTGTTGTGTTATGCCATTCTGACTGACAATGAAAAAATATATAATTGTAAAATGGTCATCGAACACCACCTGACCATACCGTGCTGCTAAGAATTGTTCTGTAAGCCATCAGAACTGTTCAATTAACAAAAGCTCTGGACAAGGAACTTTAATTTTTTCTTTTTTGTACTAATGTTGTCCTCTGAACTTGTCCAGATGTTTATACTCTCTTTATTTGTCATGATTAGGGCTTGTGTGCCCCGTGTACACCATTGTCAGAAGTAAAAAGAATGAGTGAATCAGATTGCTTTTGGAGGTGCATGCACCATTCACATTTACTTGTATAGAGAAATGACACAGCAATATATAATAGGTTACAATTACAAAAATGTAATGCAAATGCATTATACATACAAGCAAATGTTACTCCATGTCATCGAAATCAAAAATATATTGAATTTAAAATCCTTAAGTTTGTTTGTACATACAAAGATTGCACAGGGTGCTGTGTATGGGAGCTTTTTTGTATCTGACAAACACATTATAATGGGGGTGATGACTGGATAAAAAAAAAACTACTACTGACATGAAAATTCAGTGTGTGAGGTGAGTGTTAATGCATTGTCTATTGTTACATAGAGCTTTTGTACTAAAGAAAAAATGATAGTAATAGCGTAACCTGACGGAATATAATTTTACATCTGTTTTGTTTCGTTTACCAGGGTATAGTACAATTGTCTCTTCCCCCAGGCATTTATTATTATTTCTTTGCTGAAACATTTCCATTAAAACTGTTCAGTTTTTTATCACGTTTTAATGTCTCCTTTTTTTTATATATATAGATTAAACTTAACATTAAGAAGGATGACAGCAGTAGTAATAGTAGGTGACTGTTAGAACTTTAGTACCTGTATAAGCTTTAGAAGTCCACTAAACAAGTTTCATATCAGGGCTTCCTCTCCCCTTTTTTTTTTTTTTGCTTCAGAGGTTCTTTTAACGGATTGCAGGAGTAAACCCAGTCACAAAACCAAACTTTTGGCCTCCTCGCCGTGTATTGCACTTTTAGCAGACTGGCTCTCCCAGTATCCCGCACTGCCTGAACCCATCTGTTCCATCACATATATCTCTAAAGACACACTGGGATTGATATACTAAAGTAGAACATTTTCTTAGAGCAGTGGTTCTCAACCTGTGTAACCTCAGGACCCACATTTGTCCTTGCCCATTAAGTGCACGGCCTTGAGGTACTGAACATTTGGATGTGGGTCATCAAACTGTGGGTGGAAGGTGCTTTTGGGATGCCATTCAAATGAATGGCAATGGAACACACCTCCTGCAACAGAATACATGGTAGGTGCGATTGCGTGGCACAATGCATTAATCGCATGGGACAGTGTGATTAACGCAGTGTACTAGTGTGAACTAAAAAACACTGACACACACACAAAATCAATTTACATTTATTTTATTTTTTAAGATCCACTCAGTCTCCCTATCTTAAGAGAACTGAAGAGTGGATCCTCATCCTGGGGGTCCAGTGTGGGCTGCTTTGCTGTGATGGTGCTCCATCCATATGTGCGTCCAGTTGTACAGCTCCCCTGCGTGCCCTGTAGAGGTGCCGGGAGCCAAAATGTGACATCACTCTGGTCCAGGCACCTCTACAGGGCACACAAGGGAGCTGTAAACAAATGCATGTATGGATAGAGCTCCCTTGTGGCCATGGCCTGATGTATAACATACGTTGAAATTGGGGGTCTAACCATATGGATTTCTCAGAACCGATACCGATTATGGGCAACCTTTCAGGCTGAGAACTGCTATGATATGCTGTTTACATTCAGCTGAATGTAAACCGCAGGCAGTTACCTGACAGTGGTTGACCCCTACTGACACCCAATGGAGTCTGCAGTTGTAAAGAGTACCCTCTAGGAAAGAGTCGTATAAGAAAGTGCTGCAATTGGAAAGCCCTCCACATATCCAGAGGAGGCTGCACCATAGTTTAAATATCATTGAGGGGTTCAAAGAGGTAAAATTTGGGTCTGTAAGCTTTACACTGGAGGAATCTAGAGAAAGACTTGTCTCCCCTGCCAGGGATGAAGGGTGACCTATCACGGGCAGCATAAGGAGGAACGCTCAGACAGCTTAACTATACCCAGTATTGTTCTGACCACCTTCAGCATAGGGCATGGATGGAGATCTCTGGTAAGCTGCGGTTCCAATCAAGGAAGACAGCAAAGCGAGATGTCAGAACACTCCTGCTCTAATACTATCCACTGCTTATGGGAAACATTTCTACACCAATCTAGAACCCTAACTAGGTGTGTCACTTGGTGACACACAACTTTTGAATTTCTCTCTAGTCTAATCTTGGAGCTCAAAGTATCTGTACTTGTACTTATACCGAGTACAGTACTTAGTATTGATGCATCCCTAGTCATCGGTATTAAAAAAAAACCTCATCAGCGCCTCAGAAAGTTCATAAGTCATCAGGTCATCATGAAGAGATTCATTGAATCTCCAATACCAGGCCCAAAAGGTTGGTGGGCCAAGCAGGAGAGTCAGAGTGGTAGTGATTTTGGACCAAGTAGCCGACACTTCGATAGAGGTGGACTCTACCAGAGGGAGTAACCCAAGTGCGACCATAAAATAATCAATTCGGGAGTAGGACTGATGTGTTGGTGAAAAAAACTTATCTTTAGCGTGGGGACGCCAGGCGTCAATCAGCATCAAAGATTGCAGGGATCTTTTAATACATCGCAGGCAGGGGAAGGACAGATTCAAGGTGGATCTTGAGGTATCAAGCTGGGGATCTAAACCTGGGTTAAAATCACCACGCAAGATTAAAGTCCCTTCCTGAAATGCATGCAGTCGGGATAGGAAATCCTCCAGAAAAACAACTTGTCCATAATTCGGGATGTAGCTTGAGGCCAACGTCACTCTTTTACCATACAGAACTCCACAAAGAAACAAGAAGCAACCATAAGTATCACTAGGTTTAGCTAGGCACATCCACCCCACCCTCCTGGAAAAGAGGATACTAACCTCCATTTTCAATTCCGATGTGCTACTATAATACCCAACAGGGAAGCGAAAGTTAGAAAATTTGGGTATCGCTCAGTTTGAAAGTAGGGCTATTGAACAAATTCAACAACATCTGTTCTAAGCCTTTACTAGAGGCGTTTTTCAGGAGAATTAAGGCCCTTAACGTTGGGGTGAGCGAAACATTTTTTTTTTGCCTTTAATGCTAAGTAAAGCACTTACCTTAAATGATGTCTTTTAATCCAATCATCTT